ATACTAAAAAGTGGCAGTCACACCTTTTTTATTACAAGTATTCAACAGATGAGTTCATTTTTAACTAGATAAAATCAGATTACAATAAACTCTCTTAATTATGACATAAAAGTGGGTAAATCATGAAAAGTTAGGTTATGAACTTTCACACATTCAAGTCCAGTCCAACTTTACATGCAGGTCTTTAAAACTGTCGGTGAAAGAAGGGCTTGTACTCTGCTCGCTGAAATGTTTGTATCCCATGGGAAGTTTGTAAGTATGAGCAATGAGGCAGACAGACTCAGGTTCACCTTACATGGGCCAGCCATGCTCAGCTCCAATACTCTGAGACCAGAGGAAAAGTTAAAAAAGAAACAAAGAAAAACCTCAAAGGTCTTGCGAGCAAAGTTAATAAAGACTAATCACAATATATTTGTAAATTCTGTTAAAAAATAAGGTCCCCAGTATAACTTCCTCTCTTAATCATGCATGAATGTAGGTGTGAGACATTATTAAAATTTTCATTTGCCTTGTTATGCAGGTCCAGGCTTCATTTGTAAGGTGTAGACATTTGACATAAATGAGAAGTGTTTGCTGTACGTAGGTTAACTTCCATGTATTTTTCTCTTAATTTATAAACTCAGAACTAGCAGCACTTAGCTGTGCAGGGCTATGGAGAGAATGTGATTATTAAAGTGCGCTGGGTCTTTCAGCATTCTAATTGCCAAAAGATTATTTCCCCCTTTAAAAATGATTAACTACAACGCAGAGCTCAATTTCCAGACATGGTCTCCTTAATAGAACAGCTAAATTAGCCATACAGGTATTTCTTCTGGAAAAATATACCTCCTTGACTTACAATTTCTGACAACACTCTGTTCCTACTCAAATAGGAAAACTTATTTCAGGTCTTTTTGTCATTATAAAGTATTAGTAACTGAAAAATGTGAATGTAAAGAGAAGTTAGGCGCTAACAAGTTATGCATCAGAATGTCCATCTTTTAAGCATCCTGATCCTCAGAATTACTTTGGTGGGTTATAGGCAACAATTCCAAAAGTTAGAATCACAAACTACCAAAAAAACCCATACATTAAAGTAGCTAAGAAAAGGAGATAGATAGGTTAAACTCCTGCTCTGATGCACATGCTTAGATGTCCTACCATTTTGGCAAGGCTCAGTATCTTGGCCGTCAACTAAAATCTGCATACTAGGCATTACTGCCCATAAATCTCCTAAGAATGTGTTTCAGTTGTCTTAAGCACATCTAATGTGAAACTCCATCATAAAAACAACTCAGCCTGGCCACATTCACTGATGACATGGCAGAATGGTGCTTATGTCTTATAGGCTGGCTGGTGGTGACAGTATCTACTCATAACACAAGAGACACTATTTCAACTTCACAGCTAAATGCAGCCCAAAACCAAATCCTACCTCTGAGGGGTTGTCCCCAGTTTACACATGGTAAGCTAACAGAGGACAGCAGCACTGACTACCCCTTCTTCTCTGCAGAGGGAAATTCAGGGTTCCTAGGACTAGAAAACAAACAAAAGGCAGGATGATGCTTCTGTACAGCCACAATGGCACTAGGAGAAATTAGATGGATTCTTGTCTTTGGATTAAGCTTTTATATTTAATATGCACTGGATAAAATAAAGGAAGAAAAGTGAAGATATAAATGCTCACTGAATTAGATGCTATGAGCAATGAGCAATATATTTTTGGATCACATCCAAAATCTATTTTAACCACAAAAGCACATATTTGTAACTATCTCTAAAACTTGCATTTGGCTTGTCTTATTAAGGCCTAGATTAGTAATATCTGTTTTGTATGCAGTTGAAGTAGCTAGATGAAAGGCTAGAATGTCCTTTCAAGGGAACTACTTAGCTTAATAACTTCTTTCTCAGGTAAACTCATCAGTAGCAATTTTTCTGATTTAGCCGTGAAGCTGTATAGCACTTAAAATTGTATGAAAGGGAGCTGTTTCATGTCTCATCAGTCTAGGAGCATAAATCCAGTGTTACTGACTGATAAAAATGAGTGATTATCAGTATAATTTTCTTTTCTTTGACTCCTCTTGGACACAATATTTAATGCAGTTGTTTGAATTTGTTGGAATTCTCACATTGTGCTTTTGAGACTGCGCACTACCATAAAACAGTAAAAATATGGGAATAAATTGGAGCTAAGAATTATTAAGGTTGCACCAACAACTTGAGATGCTTCAAGTACCTCTGCTAGTCTTTCTGTCTGATCTGCTAGGACAAAAAGGTTATTTTCAAGATGGCCATTACTGAAGACATTTCTGTGTAAATGGACTAAAGCACAACTTAAACTTTACCTAGAAACTGTAGAGAGGCAGTGGATAACAGATTCTAGCTGTGATATCAGTACCACAGGAACTGATGTTCTGTGAGCCATGAACACATCCTATATTAGCTAAAATCCCATCTTTTTTTATATCACAGAACCACATATAAGTTGTAACTTAGGTCTGCAAGAGGCCTCCTGCGGCACTGAGATGTGCTCTGAAATTAGAGCATGACACTAAGCATAGTTCAAGGTCCTAAATGCAGACCTGTAGTGTGATCTTGGATATCCATTACATCTGCGTAATATGGCACAAAAGCTATGGGAAACCCATGCTCTTCTGGAAGGGCAGCTGAAGACCAGGGCAGGATACTTTAGAGCCTCTAAAATAAGACATGATCCCTATGTTGAAGCAATTAACTCAACCCACTGTGTAGCAACCCTGTTTTTAACCTTATCAAATGCTAACATAAAACGAGGTAGATATTTTACCCTGTATCTGCTATTGGAAGCTGTTTTGTAATTTCACACTTCTGCTTGTAAGAAACCTACAGATTTCAAGTCTGAAATCCTGACATCTTTAATATATTCTAGTATTTAATTCCAAATGTATTCATAGAATGCAATTATATATCAGAATTAATTCTGCTTGAATAAAAAGTTAAAACTCCTTTGGTCTTCTGTCATAGAAGACTCTCTCTTTCACTGGTCTTCCTGTAAAACCTTTTCTATGGATTCATTTTATTTGGTCATGTGTGATCAGAACTTTATGCAGTATTTCACATGACGTTTCATCACTGCCTTGTGTAATGGCAAAAGTAGTATTTCCTTTACAATATTGAAATACATCACATGATAGGTGGTAGCATGAAAATGACCTTTTTAATGCTTATGTTAGTAGTTCATAATTACCCTATTTAATGCATGTAAGTCTTGTGTTTCTCCATTTTTAACTGGTGAAGTTTGTCTCCCTTCCGTCATATGTTTCTAGGTTTGCAATAGACTAAGGTGCTGAAGACCCTGACAACAACTGCAGCATGGTCTAACTAGAAAGCAAAAGTTTAGGAAAGGAAAGCCTACAATCTTAAACAGTCTGTCTGAAGAAGGAAAGAAACAAAAGGGACTTTCTCTGTCTGCAGCACAGATTGAAATTTACAAGAAAACTCTTAATCAAAATTTTAGAGTACAAGAGTAAGTTAGCAGCCACTTGAATGAGTTATAGCCATGTTAACAAAGTAGCAGCTCCAGGATTTATCACATTTACTTCCTCTCATTAAATCAAATATTCTTTTACATGACTGGAAATCTTTTCATTGCATTAGCTCTGGCCACTAAATCCTGATTTTCCAAGTGTATTGCACTCCCATAGGACTTGCTGCCTTTCCTCTACCTCACTTCTTAGTGGCAATTCCACTCACTTTCTTTGAAGCAGTGGTAGGATCTGAATCCCAAGGGACCTGAAAAGTGTTTAATGTGGCATAAAAGGTCATTTCAATATAAATTGAAGGTATTCAACCCTTTTTAGGATCTCAGCGTTTCAAAAGTTCCCAGGTCACCTCTCCAAGTTCTTAAAGCCCATGACTGGGATTGGATTTTCAGAAGAATTCGATACGTAATAGCTCAGTGAGAACAAATAAGGAGTGACATGTTTGAAAACCTGCCCTTCTGTACATATGTATTTGTTTCCCCAGAACAACATTCGCAGCACAGGCGCCTTTTCTCAGTTGTGATCCTATCATGATCCTATCTTGCGGAATTGTTCAATGCAGCCTGCTAAATTGTTTTGCCTTCTTCAGAAAACATGTGAAACATATCACAGGACAGGATTGTAGGATTACTCATTGATTGATAAAATCTGTGCTTTAAATTAAAGAATTAAAATCAAGGATATGAGAGTATGTAGTTAGGATAGTAGTTCTAAACACAATACAGAAAATTAGTGGTATAATGACAGAGATGTACTTACTGACCTGTTGTAGGAAATGTAAAACATCAAGAAAAAAAGTGTACATTATCTTTTCTTATATTTCATATATTTATCTATGTAGTTCTAATCTACCATCTGACTTCCGATTTTTCTGTACAGCTGAGCAGATATATACCATAGAATTAAAAAGAAATCATCTTCAGTTTATTTCCTATGTTAGATTTATTCCTAAGCTGCAATCATAAAAGCACTCTGTGTTCTAGGCTTTACCTTTTCTGTAAGTGATTAAGTAATTTCACTTACAGCTAATCGATAATAGTGCACAAAACTGGTTCAGATCCTTTGAATCATGCACAGAACAATGCTTGTACTAAAGACATGAAAAACTGTCGTTGTAGCATGCTTCAGCAGTACTGATATTTAATATGTAGTCCCATAGATCAAAACCGTTCGTCTGTAGCAGAGTTCAGCATATTGAAATGATAGGACACTTCTCAGTGCTGTTCATTACGCAGTGCGCTAGATTGTGCATTTCTCATCCCCAACAAAATTGTCTGGAGTATAAGGGACATGCTCAGGCCCACTGGGGTTTCATAATTGTTTCACTCTTGCAACCCCACACACCTAAGTCACATAGAGCATCCTACTGTGAAAATGATCATTTTCCCCAACTGAACCCAGTTTTTAATCAAAACCAAATTTTTTCCAGCCACGTAAATAGAAGAACACAATTTGAAAACCCTGTCCTAGAAGCAAAAAGGAAGCTACAGCAGCATAACATGCCCAACGCAGAACTTGGAACAAAGCCTATGCAGGCCCAAGGTTTCCGAGGTACAGTACCGTGTCAGCTATCTTAGTTAAGATGAAAGATCCTGCTCTCCTGTTTATGTGACAATGATTTTGTCATAGTCTGATTAAAAGACTAGTGTTGCCAATTCTCACAATGTTATCACCTGTCTCCTAGCATTTTTCTCCCCTAAATGTCTGAGCTCCCAGAGTTGCGGGACTCATGGGCCACCTAAAATACTCTAACCTTCAGAAGCGCAGAGAAAAGATGGAAAAGTAGTAGTAGTTTAGGAAACACCTTAGTGTTTCCTAAAGGCTGAGAAACAGAAAGCACAGTAAAAGCCCCAAAGTAATTTTCTAAATAAAATCATAAATTCTATTCTTGGGAATGTACAACTCTCTGTTGAGCACCCGAGGTTGGCAACACTGAAATAATTAATTGTACTTTCTCTAAATTACCATTAATTGATGTTTGGTATGTTTCTAAGCTAGCTCATCTAGCAAGCATCAATTAAGTTAAAAGCCTCAAGCACTGTGTTATAGGAGTTTACAAGAACACAGCTTCTTGGTAACGTAAAAATTAATGTGCTTAAAATGAGCTGTATGAGCAGCAAACGGTATTGGTAGAGACAAATAAATTTTAACATAAGGTTATAGCCAGAGAATGAGGCTTGTTCTCCTTTGTAACAGTAGAAAGCTCCTCATCAACCTTACCTAGACCCAAACTCGCCCACCCGTGCCCCGCTCCCAAAAGGTCCCGCAGCGTGAATGACCTGTCCCAGTGCCGGCGTGACCCCACCGGGACGTGCAGGCTGCACGGTATGTCCTCCGCTGCCAGCCAGCTCAGCCCCACTGCTGTGGGCGTAGCGAGAGCAGTTGAAGTCACAACCTTTGCACCTTCCTCCCACCCTTCCTCACCAAGCGCAGCACGGGAGAGAGGCACGGGGAGCCCCCCACTGCCCACACTGCACACCAAGGCACGCGGAGAGGGAACGCAAAGGTTGCACAGCAGTTATGTCTGTCACTTGTTGGATGCCAAAACCCCACGTGTTTGGAAAGAAAAGCTCACCTAATATTTAGCACTGCTTCTTAACAATTGGAGTAAGATATTCAGGGGTTATTTTCCTTATTGCGGGTGGGAAGGAAAATGGAGAATGTATTACTTTGTAGACAAAGCTGAAATTATAGGTTAGGAAAGAGGTTTTAAAATTACCTCACAGATCATTTTTATTGTTGTAATTATTTTAGCTACACAATATCTACTTCTAAATGTTTGTCTAATATGAAAGAACATTTATAACTCCCCACTTATGGCTGATCTGCCATAAATAAGAAATATGTTTTAAGCTTTGTATTAATATAAGAACTCACAAATATTTTGTTCCTGGAATGCCTGCACTCTTTATTTCCTTGATTTTCATACACTGTCACCTGCTGTCAGCCAATATTGTTATCTGCTGCCCCCGCTGTGTTGTGACTAGATAAGAACTTTTGTCTTTCTTGTTTGTGTTGACTGATGTAGAAAAACCACTCTTCACCCGTGATGCATCACAGCTGAAGGGGACTTTCCTCAGCACAACTCTTAAGAAAAGCAACATGGGTTTTGGATTTACCATCATTGGTGGGGATGAGCCAGATGAGTTTCTCCAGGTGAAGAGTGTAATTCCTGATGGGCCTGCAGCACAAGATGGGAAAATGGAAACAGGTAATTAAGATGGTTCCTCTGTTCTTTTATATGAGAAGTAGAATGAGACATAGATTTCTGAGTCTCGCTCTCTCCATGAATGCATACATTTTTCCATATTACTTTCTGTGTTAATGTGTAATATGTCTGCTCTATAAGATAAACTTCTCAGATAAAACTTTCTTGTAATTTGTTGTGGTTTAACCAGGACATAATTTTTCTTTCTGATAATGCCAAGTAGCTTATTTTTTCCCATTTCACAATATTTTAAGGGAGAAAAGATCTCTGCATTCTCCTATGTAAAAATGGGATGTGATGTTCTTTGGTTTATAGGCTGTTTACTCAAGGGGAGTCTGTGCATGGAAAGAAAAAGAGACAGGCAGAGAGAGCACAGACTACTAAGTGAAAATTTATTTCTTTAGAAAGAATGGTTTTGCAAGATAATCAAAGTTGAGTCTGATCTAACATTGTTCTCATTAGAACCATCAAAATCAGAGTTTTCAGTGTGGCATATGGACACGTAGGCATCTGTGGCCTACTAATAAAGAATCTGTGAAAACTAACTAAATAAAAGAAACTTCCTCTGAAGAGATTTAAAGCTGCTCTTAAGATCTGGACCATCACTGGAAATATTTTCATGTCCACAGATTGATAAAGACTGCAAACCACTGTCTTAATGGTTTGGAGGGTCACATCAGGTCTATATATGGATGAAACATTTTTGGAGGAAGATGAACTCGGTTTCCAAACCAGCTATCATCTCCTGTAGGAGAAGACAATCAGAGAATAACAGAATAATTTCAGTTGATAGGGACCTCCAGTCACCAACCTCCTGCTCAAAGCAGGGCTAACTTCGTGGTTGGATCAGGTTGCTCAAGGCTTCATCCATGGGACTTTAGGAAATTTTATAGGACAGAGATCCTACAGCATCTGTAGGCTCCTGTCCCAATACTTAACCACTCTCATGGTGAAGATTTTTGTTCTTTAGATCCAATTGGGATTTCCACTGGTGTAACTGATTACCAGTGACTGTAGTCCTGTGTTTGTGCAACCCTGTCGCTGTGCACCGTCTTTCACCATCCTTGTTCCTCAGATACTAGTCAGGCTGCACATTGGTACTGGGACGTGCATAATTTTTCCTTCCATTTCTCACCAAGACTTTATAGAAGAAATGCTAGTTTGGGATTTATGTTGTCTCTGCAGAAAACCAAGTTCATGGTGGACAGTCACTGTGAATATAGGAGAATTTCCTAGCCTGTCACAGATCACTGTGGATGGACCACAGTAGTACAGCAGGATCCTTCTAGTGTGTTACAGTACAGGAGGCAGACACATACACACAGGCACAAATAATGTGGGTGGAGTAGTCCCAAGTGATTCTTCTGGAAATTTCCTTTCATCCTTCTTTTGTTGTAGCAAAGAAATTATCTGGACTATAGTATGTCAGAATAAATCACCCTGAACTCTAGTTTATTCTGTAGGACTCTCCAGGACTTTGCAAGTAGGAAGTGTGAAGGTTGTGAAAAGCATTATTTTTAAAACACTGCAATTTGCCTCAAGTCTTATATTACAGCTGGCATGATGTTTCTGATGCCAAATAGATGATCAGATAATTCATATAAAGAAGTAAAATGTAAGAAAGAAGTAGAATACAGATTGTTGGTATTGGTTTTATAAAAAAATTAGTCTAACAGCTTTTTAATCCTCAATTCTTGTTGCCATTTTAACTTAATGCAATTTGGCTCCCAAAGGCAAAATTAAATTAACTGATTAAGTGAACAGAGGGTACAACAGACTTCCTGAAGTTCAGGAGATTTTAGTAACATGAACTTCATCTTTCCTAATATTTTCATATTACCTAATACACTGCATGAGGGATTTTCCTTGCTTGTCATGGTTTACCATTCTCAGATCCAGCACTCAAATATAGTTACTTGCTAATCTGTCTGAAGTGTGGGCTGGTTATTGGTGAACTTCTTCATATGGAGTTCTTTTCTCTGGAAAAGACAGTATCCTTGCAACTTACTTAAATTTTGATGTTGAAATTGAATATGGGTGTCATAATACTATTGATGGTGATTATTGTAGTCATGGATTGTGATGGGAATATATAGGAAAAATGTGCTTTAAAATACATAGAAATAACATTGCTTTTTTCCCCAAGGTAATTAATTCAACTATATTAAGAATGCAAGACAGAAATGTACATTCAAATATATAATCACTCTATAATTATGTGAGCCCGATATGTACAAAATTACATCTCAGAATAAATTCTGGCCTCAAATATCTTCATTTTCGAGAAAAGTGACAGAGTTCTGATGTAAAGTAATTGGAAAATCTCAGGCTAATGATTGTGACATCTAACATGGCTTCTATGAACATTTGAAGTGATTTCTAAATATGAAAATGGTAAAATGAAAAAAGATATTTAAGGTCAGAATATTTATAAAAGCACTGTTCAGCAATGTGCTTGTATTTCCTGATATCCAATCCTTTTCACACTTCCTGAAGTAGGATTTCTCTCCCTATTCAGCCATTTTACAACCTAAACAATTGGAGATATGAAAGCCTCCCAGGTTTCATCAATAGTGTTTTGTTCATAAAGCTGTTAAAATCTTATGTTTTAAAACTATGTGAAATTACATATGTACCTTTTGTTTGTTAGGTAGGCATCATTGGATGATGAACAGAGCTTTTAAAATAGATTTTATTTATTCTTTTGACATGAACTGTGTGGTGGTGTGCAATTTATGCGCACCCCAGCTATGATCACAGTCATAGGAGGCTTTGATAAATGATCAAAATATCATATTGTGGCAGTAGGGCATCATAGCAGAAAGCTTGAGGATAGTGGCACTATGATCTGTGAAGCAACCTGGGTGTAAGGGATAACCACAGGTGTTGGTGCTCCCAGCTGTAATACAACTCTGGAGCCTTTCCCTTGCAAGGCTGATACTTCTTTTTGGCCAAGTGGTAAACAAAATCCTAGCGTTTCAGACCTGCATCAGATATGGGGGAAAAAGGAAGAAAAGACACCATCTCCTTCATCTTACCTGATCTTGGCCACAGGCTGAAGAGACCAGTGCTGTATTTTATCCTAATTGTTAAAGAAACAAGCTAATAGAAAACTAATATTGTACCTTTGGTTTACTTCTCCACCCAAAATCTAATTTAGGGGTCAGATACAAATGCTATTCAAAGAGAAGGGTGAATCTATGTAAGATTTTATTGTCACCCTTTAACATGATCACAACACAGTGATTTCACCTGCAGGTTTCAAAATGAAACAATTTTGGATTTCATCCCTTGGAACATGAAAGCAGCTGCCTGACAGAGACTTGGCATCGTTGTGATGCTATGAAACAGTTAAAGCAGTGAGGAAACTGAGTGCACGGAGATGCAACAAGAGATATGTGAGGTCCTGGTGATCTAACACCACCACTCAGAGCCCAGTGCTGGGCACTAAGAGAGCTATAATTGTCCCAGACCCATAACAAATCTCACAAGCAGACTCAGAAGAACCACGTCTCAATGGATGAGTCAAAAAGAGCCAAAATTACATTCCTGATCCCGTTTGCCAGATGTTTCAGAATTCCTAAGGGTTATTATGCCCTCGTGTAAATCTAGCATCTGTGAGCTAATGGCTGTTAATAATATTGCAAATGCCTTTCTAGGACATGTTTTAGCATTTGGAGCTCAATCAAGCTGCTGGATATGAACATTACACTCCACAGCATCTCTGCCTACCTCAAGACAGCCTAGGAGCTGATAACACATTTTCCTGAGGGGTTGTCTTTGCTTTGTCTTGTCTGAAGCCTCACGCTGCCAATAGAAAACTATCTGCATTTAAGGGGCCCCTGTATCCCATTAAAATGCTGAGTGAGCGTCACTGGTAAAAGACTGCATCTACATGAAAAGATTTTTATACAGTGGGTGATTTTGAACGACTGCTGTTCTAAGGCAAACAAAGATTTAGGCCCGCGGCTGAGTCAGATAAAAGCTCACGCTGCAAAGGCAAAAAATCTCCTATAATTCTCAAGGTTATTCAGTGGACTAGATAAACTGAAACACTCCCACATAATCAAGCTCAGGAAAGATTCTCACTCTGCACATTTCAGCAAGCTCAAGTTCCTTTAGTGGAAGTTTCCAGGAAACAGCTCAAAGACATGGTGCACAAGCGATTAATTGAGTCTATTGATGACCCTTCTGGCTGATGAATAGCTATGGTCATTGCAGGTTGAACTTTCCAGGAATGTATATACATCTGTGATGAATTGTCATAGCTCAACAGTGTGAATCGAGAAATGAGAAACATGCTCTTTCATTTCATGAGCCAAGCATACACTTGGCCAGCTCCAAGATTCTAAATCATCTGTAAATGCAGACCTGGGCTTTTTTAGATGCTATCCTCTCAGGAATGGTAGCGTTACTATATTAGTTAATCTAGAGATAAAAATTCATAAATGTAAGATAAGGTTCAGCTAACAGATATAGATGTCTACATCTACCAGATGAATCGACATCTACCACTTCTAGATAACTGTATTAGCATGAGGCCTAGAAACTAGAGGTCTAGAGATCAGTCCCACATCTACCACTTAGAATTTCTACTGCATCTGAGAGATCTCCAAAGGGAATGAACCAGCTGTTAGAAATACTGGAAGGAATGACCCGTGGCCTTGCTGTTCTCCATGGGCCTACCATCAAGACCCATAACAATCTTCTATACATGATGAATTTGTCAAGAAGATGAGGTTACTGCAAATGTAAGCAAAGTCATAAAAGTTGTTATTCACTTGAATAAGAGCAAAACTAAAGCCATTATCAGGTGGTTGACCCTAAAATATCACTAAGCTTAGGGAATAATTATCTAGTCATCATTCATGCATATTTTTGCACAGTAAGGCTAATATCTCACAACCTCTGTAAAAAGTAGAGTACTCAAGACAGAAGGAATTGGGGACATCTGCAGAAGGATGCATTTTTACAAGTTCAAACAGATCCCTAGTTCTGTTCCC